TATCGTTTCTATGAAACATTAGGTCCAGATAAGATACATTCAATCAGCGCTACATTCAAATCGCCATGATATTAAAATACGTTTAACTTTCTCCATGGAGAATAAATGAAGAGATGGCGCTATTTTTAACGTTATTCTGTATATCAGAGCCCGAAACGAGGCAAGTTTTTGTCGAATCGTCTCGACTCGCTTCGGATGCCTTCTACCTCGCCTCGCTTCGCCTTGCTTCGGACAAATCGTAATAATCATGATTGGGTACTAATTTCTCAACTTCTTCTATTCAAAACTACATGGAAAATTAATATATTAAGTTCTCGCTCTGGTTTATTTTCTCGCAAGTCAACAATAGCTATCGTTCATTTAATAATGCAGAAAGCAGCAGCAAAAATACCTTTACAGAGAAACCTTATAATAACATGCAGCTTTGTTGATGATCAGAGTAATCTCAAGAAAGCTAGTGTTAATGAATAATAAACGATTGCACTCTTTAGTTTTTACCGGAAATCTTGGGAATCATTTTCTGAGTAATTTTACTATCTGATTTAGATTTAAAGATGATATCAAGCCCAGCTAACCCAGCTGTACAGATCTGTATCAGACCCGTCTTGAAACTTGAATCTGTTAAGAATCTATAAATCTTTTTCATCAGTACCGTTATTTACAAAAATGATTTTTGATATTCACAAATATGTCGAAACAGCGGTTCCCAACATATTTTTATTCGAATGACCATAATCGTATTCATTCTTGACTCGATTATCAAGCTAAAATAAAACTGTTTCAAAATTCTATTTTCAGTAGGCTTCGCAGCAACAAACACCCGATATTTTTTTAAATTTTGGTATGTAAGCTTTAGAGTACTCGAATACAAATCAATAATTGCCACTCTTCACAGAATGGTAAAAAATACATATTTCGACCTATTCTATAGAGACCAATATCAACTAGTCGATTTGGAAAGTATTATTAATAAACGATCATTGGATCCAATGTGATCTGTTTTTTGAAGATGAGCCTTCTTTACATCTGAGGGAATTGATTATCTCGACTTATGCTTGCTCTTTTTTCTACACGAAAAAATTAATAATGAAAGATATAGTGCGTAATTAACCGAGGCGGCATTTTCAAAATTGCATCGCTTCGCCTCGACAGATCATTTCAAAATCTTGCCTCGCCTCGCCGAATCTTCGCTTCGTTTCGGGCTCTGCTATATATACATTATAGAAACATGATCTAACATCATACTCCCTCTTATGAGTATGTAGTAGATATTTGATCTTCTAAATTTCCTGATAATTTGAACGTATTTGAATTTATTTACAAATGAAATATTACCATAAGAAAATCAAGATGTTAATGTTATGGATATTAATTATTCTAGATATATAGTAAAATGTTCAATAATCAATTTAAGAAAAAAGAAATTTAAATTCAAGATAAAATTGAAGAAAAAAGTCATTTTTTTGATTGTTTCGGTTTCTCATTCATTATGAATATTGTTTGATGAGCGAGACATACGAGATATTGATTTTCGAAATGAAAGAAAGAAAACATTTATTCTTTTAATTTGAATAGGTACAGTCCTGAACAAAAGTAACCGCCCCCCCCCCCTGAAGTAGTTCGAATTTTAATGATATCGAGCTGATTTTTTGTATACGTGTGAGTCATGATTAATTCTGATCGCAAGCACTGATCCGCTCTCAATTGATTGTTGTACACTGGAGTTATGCATCGAACATTGTCTTCACCTTGTGATGACTATATCTCAGCTGCTTTAATACATTTATTTTCGCGGAAGTTCTCATTTAAAAGCTCATCATCGGAACTATCTCCAGTACAAATTTCCTAGAAAATTGTATTAAAATGGGTAAGATATGATTTTCTCAATGAAAATTTTTGTTCATCGATGAAGTCAAGTTTCCGTTCGGTCATATGTAACTCAGGATGAGTTTGACAGATTTACTTGAAAATTTCAGTATAAACTTCTCATGTGCTCTTGAGTATTTTCTGAAAGTTTCATAACTGCAACTTTTAATAAAATCTATATACAACTACAAGAACACTCCTTCATGACATTGCTTGCCAATCGCTGAAATCTCGATGCTGTGCAGTGAGCTTTTGATACATAAAACTATGAACATAGAACTTTGTTTCTAGCTCAGAAAATCACCTAAGACCAGATCTGCAACAAGAGAAACAAATAGAATAAATATGACTCGAAATAAATAAGATTTCTAGTTATAAAACTACAATGAATTCTGTTAAACGTTTATGAGTTAACTTAAATCTTGTTTTCTTATTCGAATAAGTTTTCAAACACAAGAAAACGATCAATCATCTTGTTCAATAGATATACGAATTACAAGTTATGTACTTGCGATATAATATAGAGCTAGTGTCATCTGAACTAATTGTGATTAATAAAGGGAGGACAAATATTGTTCAACACTATTTATTTGCCAAATTTTCTCGAATCATGTGATCACTATTTTAAAATATGTAAAAGCCATAACAGTGCTTTCAATTGAAAGTTCATTTGAAGAAGTGAATCAAATATCATGTCTTTATCAATTCATAAACGATTTGAGATTGTATTCTTATCAAAACACAAATACGGACCACATTTTGGTATTAAGAAAATCGCTAACATCGTGCCATGTTCGACGAGTACCGTCAAAATATGGCTCAAAAGGTGGGAAACAGACAAGACATTATCAGATAAACAGAAACCTGGTCGACCACGTACAACTACAGAAGCTGAAGATGATTTGATTGCTGATGCAGCAAATAATGCAGATGAAGTGATCGCAAAAGACATACATCAAGTGTTGCAACAACAAGATGTCAACATCAGTGAACGGACTGTGCGTCGTCGTCTTGTGGAAAGAGGCTTCCGTTACATGTTACCGTTATTGAAGCCACTTTTAACATCCAAACATCGGGAGCAACATCTGAGATGGGCCAAAAACATGGAAAACCAAGACTGGAGTCGAGTCATTGCAGCTGACGAAACAACTATTCGTCTCACTAATACTCGGCGAATGTCTTGGCAAAAGTCAGGGCAACGTGCAGTCCGGCGAACAGTAAGATTTCCCATAAAAGTCAACGTATGAGGTTGTCTTTCATCAAAAGGTTTTGGTAAAATCATGTGCTTTAGCACAAACCTTAACAGCTCCATTCTTTGTAATGATATTTACCAAAACTGTCTGCTTCCTACTACACGAGCTCATTTTGAACGCAACCGTGAATGGCTTCTTCTCGAAGACAACGACGTAAAAACATAGGTCACGTTGGTCAAAAGAGTGGAAGCTACAACATAATGTAGTAAATCTTCCATGGTCTCCACTCAACCCGGATATGAATCCGATTGAAAATCTTTGGACACTTCTGAAGACCAAGATTTCACAACGAGAGCCAACAAATTTATTGACGCTGGTGAAGACAATCAAAAAAGAATGGAAGCTGCTACCGAAGGAATCAGCTACAAACTTGATGTTACGTATGCCAAACCGCATCAATGCATTGATTGAATCTGAAGGAGATTATACAATGTACTAATCTTTATTGTTTCTCACTGTATTTTGTAGAATCAGAACTAGCAACAATAAAAAGAATATCTATTGAACAAGATGATTGATCGTTCTCTTGTGTTTGAAAACTTATTCGAATAAGAAAACAAGATTTAAGTTAACTCATAAACGTTTAACAGAATTCATTGTAGTTTTATAACTAGAAATCTTATTTATTTCGAGTCATATTTNCATGTAAGATTGAATTGAGGGTGAGGGAGACTTGTACTTCAATATACTCTCGTTTTCAGCATGTCTATCCATCTACATTTGAATTATTTTTGTTTTCGATATTTTTATTTTCGACATTTTGCCCTTTCGATATTTTTCCTTTCTGCCTTTTCCATCATACCGAAAAAAAGAGTAAAGAGAGATGACTGAAGAAAAGAAAATTCAGTTGCCTGGTATTTGTAATGCATGAAGCCAAGTTGACGACCAACATTTCATTTCAAACAAACGTTTTGCTGCTCTCTTTACTACAGAATTTGATTTCGCCAGGGTTAGATCTGGAAAAACTACAACATTTTTGTACGGAATATACTGAACTCTGTTTGTTGCATTCGTCCAAATTTTGCCTACGAATAGATAGCTGAGCAGCTGTCACAGATAAGCAATGATTAAACTTCTTCCTTCTGGGGATATCTGGATGTGCCGTGGGTGATCGCGTAGATGGCGGTACAAGTATGGGCGCTTAGGTGAGTTTGGCCTCTGAGGATGTGACTGTAAGCTGGTTGAGAAGGAAACCCGCAGGATGTGAATGGATGGAGTATGACGAGTGTGAATGTTTTGGTGGTTCACATGGATTATTTCTGGGACAAATTATTCTTCCCATAGAAAGTTTATAGATTCATTATGTGAGTCTAATGATAAGTACTGTTAAACGTTTTTTCGTAGAGTCATAATGACTTCCACTAGTTTTGATGCCCATTCATTGCATAAGATTGTAAGGCTGTGAGGTGTGGCTGTGGCTGTGGATGTGGGTTTGGCTGTAGCTATGGGCGTAGATCAAGAGATATCACACATGCGCCCACATTCACACCCCACACCCACACCCACACCCAAAACCGACGTATATATGGTGTTTCTACCAAATTGAAATTTAATCTGAGCTTTGACAAAGAATAATAATATATGCTAAGCAGATCATTCAAGTCATTCGGACTTACGGAGAGGATCTGTGCCCTTATGTACCTCATTTTGTACATAATTTACTGATAAGACTGTATGTATATTATAGGAAATATTCATAGAGATTACTTGTGATTTATTGAATTTAGAAAATAGAACAAACGAAGCATTCTCAACAACAAAATAGATATCGTAAGACTAAGTGTCCTTATTTCTTTAACACATTACTATGAAATCTAGGTACTTCGTCAGACGTATAAACATTCTTTGAGTCTAGAGTCTGCTTCACTACTTCGAAAAATCTTACTTCTTTGAACAATCATAACCAGCATCCGCTGGTCCTCCAATACACCATTCATCAAGCATTCGTTTTGACTTGTATATAACAAATGGAGGTAGAAGTACACCAGCAGCCGAATCGCAAAACATTGCACTAATATATGATTTTCCTCCAGTACCACCTTGGATACGGTAAGCATTAGGCGTATGTCTATGAACAATAACTTTAGAATAACTGATACTGTCGGACAAGCCTATAATAAGATCGAAGTATGCTAAGATCTGTTACTCTAAGGAATATTTTAAGTTTACCGGATTCATCACAGTTGAAAATTTGAGCAGGATTATTTGATAAATTATTTTCCTGAAGAATTTTGTTTAACAACTGAAACCAATTATTCACTTGCTCGCATGTCAATGCTGCACGTTTCTTTTCTAACGGATAAGATTTTTTAAAAATAAGATTGTGATGACGATTCAAAAACGAATAAAGCCAATCGTATGTTGGTGTTCCGGACGGAAACAAATGCATTTTATTAAGAGAGGATGCATCTTGTTTACTAAGATTTATAAATTCGTCGATTGTTAATGGTACACCCCAATTCTTTCAATCAAAAATATTTAGAAAACTATTAATTAATAAAAGAAAATGTTATGTTACTTGTAAAAGAAGAGCTGCTTGCTCTAAATAACCTTCTTCTTCTTCACTAAATTTTGTTGGTCGGCCAACCCGATCATAAAAAATTTGATTATTTACGTGTGAATTCAAAGTTGTATAAGGAATAGAAAATTCTCTTACGGCTGCACGAATAGAATATTCTTTTTTAACTAAATCGACAGCCAATTGAAAATTACTTTCACTGTATTTTTTAGTTGTATGTTTTTTTTAATATTTTCGGGGCATTTGGTAGCGTGTCCCTCTTTTTGAAAGATTGACAACTAACAGAGAAATGATTTGTAAGATAATTATAATTAAAATACGAGAAGTGCACATGTTTATATAGATTGCGAGAGAGAGAAAGGGTATGGAGAAAAAAAGATACATCTAGATATGTCTAGGATGATAATTCATCCTCTCTTTTCCTTGTCTGTTCGTTAAATTAAATGTGAAGGCTGCCTGGATAAAGTAAAATAAAACGACAAATTAATTCACACAATATCGATGTAGAAGTAATGGAACCTTGATCATCTTTAGTTTTGAAATACAAAGAGAGATTTATCAAACTTGACCCATTCAATAGCAAACCTCTAACATTTCAAACCTAAATTTAAAAGAATTGAATAATAGTTATTGCACTATTTTAATATAGAAAACTGACGACATGATAATTCAATGATCCCGATAATTCATTGGTGTCGTCGTAAAATTAATTCATGACGCTAAGACCATTTTTTAAACGTAAACATATATAGAAATTCTACTGGAAAGATCACAATGAGAGCTGTAGAATTTCATAAATAATCTCTAACTATAATTGCTAGAATGATCCCAATTACTCCAGGTGAATAATAAGACTGGTCCGAATTACCCCAAATGCAATTTTACATGATTTAGGGTGGTCTCAGAGTTTATATTCAATGTCTTATAATAGTTTGTTCATTCAACGAAATATTTTCAGGTCCCACAGATGAGACTTTGGGCTATCCAATAATATTTTTTTTTTCATATGAAGATCGATAAAAAAAAAGTTATGAGTTGGGGAAAAATATTCTAGCTATTTTTGCTGGAGTGATCGGAATTACCCGGGCAAGATTGTATGACTGATCCGAATTACCCCAAATGGGGTAATTCAGATCAGCTCGCCATGACCTTCGCCATTTTCGTTGATACTTTTTTTTAATACATTATTTTTTGGAGATTCTTTCATCAATAGATAGACGAGAGTTTATTCTAGTCGTGGTCCAAAATTCAAACCTCTATCGAATAAAATGAATGAGAACGAAAAAAAATAAGATGAAATTTTTTATTTCTGATCCGAATTACCCCGAACGACTCTATATTTTATTATTATCATGATATTGGAGCAAAAGAAAAGCAGACAGGAAGGCCAGGCCTTCAAAAAGTAGGCCTGCTTGGACCTCTGGCATCCAAATCGATTCTTCTGCGATAGAAAACGCACTGTTCGAGAAATGATGTATGCATACTTTCATGTTTCTAGACCTACTGTTTGCCCTCAGCCAGCCTGGTCAATGCAGAAGATTTGAAACCAGGTGACCTAGTCGTACGTATTTTGAACTGCTTTCGAACTGATATTATCGCGGAGATGGTGTGTACATGCTAGGGTGTTAATAACGACTCATATTTGATCTTGGAAAAAATTCCAGTCGAGTACAACTCGCGTGTCAAAACAATGGAAGTCGATGAACGACCTATGGAACGATATGAAGATATTTGTGGTCTGGATAAGCAGATTCGAGAAATGATCGAAGCTGTCGTTCTACCTATGACGCATAAGCACCGATTCGAAGCACTTTGCATAAAGTCTTCCAAAGGTTAGTCTCATTATTTTTTCCAGAGGAGCAATAAACAAGCTGATATTTGTTCTATGAGGTGTGCTTTTCTACGGCACGCCTGGTACCGGCAAAACCGCATTGGCTCGCGCCTGTGCTGCACAAGCTAACTCGCTTTTTTTCAATGTGGCCGAAACTCAATTTGTACAAATGTCTATCGGTACGTTCATATGTTTTGCTCGTCTATCACTGAGTTCAATCTCGAACGACTAGGTGACAGAGCGAAATTGGTGCGCCAAGTATTTGCCTTGGCCATGGAGAAAGCACCAGCTATTATCNCCACACCCGCACCCATACCCACACCCACACCCACCCACACCCACACCCACACCCTTTAGTACATCTTCACTTGTTGATAATTCTCCATAATCTTGCAAAGTAATGATTAAATCAACTAGACGTTTTTCTTCTGTTCTTTTTAAAGCTGTGGGACGACCAACTTGTCGATTTGATTTTCGAGATATTCGAGGTGCAAGCGTTCCAGTAGGAATATTTATTATACTAGAAGCTTTTTCATATGTCCATTCTCTCGTACGAATTTTTTCAATAGCATTTTGTACATCATCTTCAGTATAGCTTGATTTTGCAGTTTCTCTTATATAGTTTTTCACCATTACGAAATTCGATTAAAATAGAATCAATAAGAAAAATGTGCGCAATATATATGATCGATTCGGTCGTCTTTTTTTTTCTTTCAAAAGTTGACTGAACATGTACCATCATTTACGCATCTCTTAATATTTTACACGAATCAGCTGAACTTGTTAGAAAAAGTGCATCATAAACTTTCAAAACTTGAGGTCTATAGGACACAGAATCAGCAGAAGAAATCAAACTATCTTAGGAAATCAATTCCAAACAACCAAAATTGAAAAAAATAGAATTTTTATGCTAACTGAAAAAAAACCTATTCTTCTTGTTTCTTCAGAAAAATTGTATTAGTAATAGGAAATGATATCGAATTACTTCACAAATGTAGAGAAAAAATTTCTATGCATTATTGGTAACGGAGATTTTTTAGCTGAATGTACTCATTGCGTGAAAAATTATTTGGAAAAAATTCGAAATTCCATGTTGTTTTTTACGTATCTATCCAATTACCCCATAGCGTATCATTATCTATGCAATTACCCCAAATGGGGTAATTGAAAAAAGTTTTATTAATCTTTCTAATGATAGTATCAAGACAAAGCTTATTTTTAATGAATTATTTTAATGAAAAATTGTTAGCGATTGCAGAGGATGATCTTTTCTATCAGTCTACGAAAGAATTACTAATTAATGTCATATCATCAATAAAAGAAAGTTAATTTTAATCGTTTCGTGCAAAATACATGGATTTATCCAATTTCCCTATCCTCCTAGCATATTTATCCAATTTCCCCTGGTGGGGTAATAGGAAAACATGTGCTGGGGCAATTGGAAACCAGGTAGAAAATACGTACCAGTAACTCGAATCTAAATAATTCTTATATAGGTAGATAGTGTAATAGGGACTCTGTTTGGATGTCAAACCTTGTAAAAAGATATTTATGTATTAAAAAGTTATAGCAAAAGCGAAAAAAAATGATTGAAAACGTATATCCAATTGCCCCACACTACTCTAATTCAATCCACGTAGACCGTCGCCGAACCGGATCAATTGAGATCGTCAGATCTGACTCATTTTATGATATGTTATAGAGAGAAGAGTGCTAAGAATATCTGCAAAAGATTTTTGAAAAAATACTAAATCTTTCATTCGTTATGAAGATTTTACTAAAAGCTCTAGAAATAGTTCTTTCTCCAACAGTGACGCAAATGTAACCATATCTCGACACTACCTCTATGAATTGAGCTTAAATTTTGCATGCACGTTCAAAAACGTGAGTTCTGCCTGTGATAAAATTTTTGTTCCAAAATATAAAATTATGGAAAATTTAGCAAACGATTCGAAACGTATATTAACGGATAGAATGTCGAAAGATCTACGATTTCTGGAAACTTCAGCCAATTTGATAGGTTCATTCGACTGAAGCAGATTTTTGTAAAGATGGCATTTCGAGAATAATGCCGACTTTGCCAGTAGGATCTCGAGAGTTGGCTGGTTAGGAGGCCATCTTTCTTGTAAAATGTGAAATATTTGTAACTCACAAATGAAGCATTAATTTTTACAATCACGTTTCTTGTTGTTTGTAGTCTAGACAACTTTTTATGTTCAATTCGATGGTGATTCTGTCTCATTCGCATTGTAAATCTTTATTCGACTTGTACAAGGAAAGTGAGGTATAATCATAAGATTTGGCTGCATCTGTAGGTAAATAACTCCACTGTGCAGTATTCTTTCTTGCGGCCATCTTGGCAAATGTAGACTATAGCATCAGTACACAGGAATTAATAAAAATTTCGCATAACAATCATCGATGAACAGGATATTTTATGGATGGTTGATTGAAATGAGTGGAAATATGTGGTTTTTCAGGTAGCAGGTGATTGAACAGTTTTAACAAAATGTCAGTTAAAATGTAAAACATAATTTATAAGAAGCTTCATTGCTCGTGTCATTTATGCTTGATAGTATAAATAGATATAAGTCAAGTTCTAATACACATCTAGCATATAAGTCAATCATGAGATGTCTAATTCGAGTTCGAATATAAAATGGGCACTCAACTACCCACGATGACTTCGAAAAAAAAGCGACACCCATGTTAAAATAGCAAAAAAGCAAAAGATTAAATTTTATATAAATTTATAAATTTACAAGATACCAATGTCACAGGCACACGTGAACGCACCAAATGAAGATGTCAGGAAGGAACTTTCAAGATTAATAATGTCTAAAGAATTCGACACCCACACATCAACGCCCTAGAGGAGGGTGTCGCGAAAGGACTTCCATGGTTCTTAACCTAAAAGTAGTTTTACTCACACACATCACGACACCAGCTGAGTGCGTCCGAAAAGGACTTTCATTTTTCGTCATATCAAATTAATTCTATATACAATTATTGCCATATCAGTTTTAATATGTGGGACTTCAAATTTATAAATTTATGTAAAATTTAATCTTTTGCCTCTTTCCTATTTTGACATGGATTCGCTTTTTTCCCATTTATATTCGAACTCGAATTAGGCATGTACTCAAGTCAGATGCGTGGTAATCAACGACATCTTTTTAGAATTCTTATTATTGACTCCATATATGTCTGTTGATTATTTACCCATATAAAAAGAAATGGCAGACAGGAAAGAAATCATGCCTTTTTTGTTATTTTGATGACTCTATTATCAAAACTAATGTGACGATAACAAGAGCTGATATAGAATAAATTCAAAAAGCTCTACCTTTTAATTCATATATATTGATACTATATAGATGACGGACTTTGCTTGGTTTTTACAATTTTCTGCAGTATTTATAATTCTTACTCTTGCTCTATTTTCGCCCTTCATAACATTTTTTACATTTATTCTTTTATCATGGTTTTGGTCTTTACCTATGACTCTTACAATATGTCTTATATATGGTTGTTGGATGTATTTTGATCGTCATACAGATTCTCAAGGAAGTCGATGGTCTAATCGGATTCGTCAATTACCTATATTTACACATTTTGTAAATTATTTTCCTCTTAAATTAATTAAAAATGAAGATCTTGATCCAAATCGAAATTATATATTTGGTTTTCATCCGCATGGAGTCTTTTCTTTAAGTGCATTCGGTAATTTTGCTACAGATGCAACATATTTTTCAACTCTTTTCCCAAATATTCGATCACATTTAATGATTCTTCGCCTTCAATTTCTATGTCCATTTACACGTGAACTCTGTCTTAGTTTAGGTATATTAATGTTTTATATCTTATCAATGAAGAAAACGAGTGCTGAATAATTTTAGGTGTATGTGATGTATCAAAAGATAGTTGTGAATATTTATTAAGTGGAAAGTCTGGTCAGGGTAATGTACTAGTCATCGTCATTGGTGGTATACGTGAACAGTATCTTACGAGAAATGATAGTATGAAATTGTATTTAAAGAATCGAAAAGGTTTCGTTAGACTAGCATTGAAATATGGGTAAGAATAATTCGTCAAAGATAAGATAAATAATAATAAAAATACTTGTTGTGTTTAGCGCTTCATTAGTACCGGTAGTTTCGTTTGGAGAAAATGAGCTTTATCGACGACATGCTCATTGTAATTTAATACCCAATGGTATAATTTGGGGTCGACTTCTTGCTGGACATATGCCATTTCGACATCCGGTAGTCACTGTTGGTAAGACATGGATGATATTCTTATTGACATATTAAGCAAAAGAATCTATTTTTATATAGTTGGTAAACCTATTCATGTTAAACAAAATACTAATCCAACTTCTGAAGATGTCGACGAACTTCATCATGAATACCTTCAAGCCGTTGAAGAACTTTTTGAAGTGAACAAACATAAATATAGATTAGAACATGTAAAATTAGAAATTGTTTAGCAAAAAAAAGAACATAGGTGAAAAGAAATTTCTTGCTTTGATTCATGTTAGCTGTGAACAAAAAAAGAACATAGAAAGCGATAGATCATGTTTGATGAAGTGAACGTGACAATCTTCAGAGTTCAACTTACACCCGCCAGCACGTAAGATTATGTTTCACGATTCTAATATAGATTGATATAATCCATAACTAATTGAATACATCTGAATTTGCTTAAGATTTTCTTACAAACATATTGAAGTGTTTTAACAAAATAAACGTCAAGTATTAGTAAATATATTTAAATTTTAAAAAACTTTTTTCTGTGACTAGCTGCTTAATTTGCTTGAATATCACGAGTCATAAGCACAGTTGTTGATTCTCTCGTTTCTTGATTGCCATAGCGATTCTATGAAAGTTTGATAGCATCACTGATTATCTGTGCAGCTGTTTTTCCTCAATATCCATTTACATTTGTTGCTTCTCTTGTGCAACTTTCTTAATGATTGATCTGTTTGCCAACTAACGTGAGTAATTAACATTCATAATCGAACACCCAGAGTGTTTGTTTGCTATATACATGCTGTGTATCAACCGAATGTTTTAGATACCTACTGTGTAGGGTGTGGGTGTGGTTGTGGGTGTAGGTGTGGGTGTGAGATGGGTGCGGGTGTAGGGTGTGGGTGTCGATCTAATCGTCTTTACACCCACACCCTGCCACACCCACACCCACACCTACACCCACAACCACACCCATACCCACACCCCACACCCACTCCATAACAATCTTAAAGGGAAAGGTGTTAATATAGGTATTTTCCCACTGCGTTATCTTGGTTCGTATAGGAAATTTTTCCAGTCTGTTCTTATATATATAGTCGTGTTTATTCTATCACTTGTTGTCAGATAGTACGTTTCTTTCTGTATTCCCTTACCGCTCTTCGTTGTATCTTCCATCGTTGTTCTTCTTTACTTTGTCATCATGATCGAGATATCACAATAAATGGAACTCACATAAACACCAAAACTTACAATTTTCTCTTGTTCTCGATTTAATATGTATATTAAATGGAAAACCATAAAAATGTAAATAGAAGCTCTAATATCAACTTTCAAATTTTTGAATAATCC